GTAATTTCGTTTCTAAGTATTAATTCACTTTATTTAAGACGACAAGGTAGTTTTCCATTACAAGAAATCCGAGATATCGATCAAACTTGACCTCTCCAGGCCTTGGCCAAGAAACAATTATAAAGAAATGTGTGGGATGAAAAATAAATGTTCAAAATCTTCAAGGATCTTTCATTTTCTTCTCAAGATTTTTAGGGGTCTTTTATTTCCTTTCCGAGATCTTTAATTTTCTTGCCAAGATCTTTACGGATCTTCAAAATTTTCCTGCCAAGATTGTTCAGGATTTTGGCAGGAAAGTAAAAGATCCTTGAAGATCTTGGCAAGAAAATGAGAGATCTTCAAAGATCTTAACAAGAATTTAGAAGATCCTCAAAGAATTTTCAAAGATCTTTAAAGGATCTTTGAAGTTCTTGTCAAGATTTTTGGAGATCCGGACAAGATCTTCGAGGATCTTGACAGGAAAATTAAAGATCCTTAAAGATCTTGGCAAGAAAATGAAAGATCCTTGAAGATCTTGACAAGAACTTTAAAGATCCTTGAAGATCCTGGCAAGAGAATGAAATATCCCTGAAGATCTTAACGATAATTTTGAAGATCTTTAAAGGTTCTCATAAAGATCTTGTAGGATCGTTAAAGATCCTTCAAAGATTTTCACCAGGGATGTATCACAACAAGTCAAAAAATATAGAAAGCGCTCGCCGCATCGGCACTTTTTTTCGTTGTTTTGGTAGCCACTTTGGAAATTTAGCCAGGCATTTTAAGGTAGGTAATTCAAATGTGATATATTGTAGTGTACACGTAAATACGCTAGTCATAAAATCAGCAGTCCACTGTTTGCAACTCTGCAAAATTATCATGATAATATGCGAAACTTTGTTCGACCATTTCCGCTTGTCGACAAGTCTTTCCACTTGATACAATTTTACTCCGGGTTTATATTTCCTTTTGCTTCTATAAGCAATAATAATCTACACGATATTTACTTCTTACCGATCGTGCCATGTTGTTTTTGCAACCACACCTTCGGGCATGCTCCGTAGAACTTTGAGTACACCACAGTCAGGGGATATGGCACTAACGAAATGACTCGGATTAATTGTAATGTTTTCTTTCTTTCATATTGGACTATTTCCTTCTGTCATTCCAAACTAAACTAATAGATAAATATTCGCCACCCAGAATGCCTTCAATGAAAATCACCAACGGGTAGCACTCATGATTTTATGTGGAACAAGCAAATGCAATTGGGCAATCTCATTTCAAATTTTCGTTAAATTTCCGACTCGAGTTATGACGAACAAGAACGAGGAGCATGTGGTTCACTAGTTAATTTATGTAGGAAAAAAGAAAAGAGTAAAGAAGACGATCATTTATTCCAAAATCTATGTGTGAGCTGGATTTCAGCTTATTTTCATTTTCTACAGGTGTGCTGATAAATATTCAGTTACGCTGTGTTCTTAATATAACCTACATTTTTTCAAAAGAAGTCAAATGATGTGTTAAAGAATTCGTATTTTGATTTGTCGCCTTAAATTTTTCTCTGAATGAAAATACCTGCCAAGTTTTGTATCATTTAATAAGCAAGGAGCGTTTTACATTTTTAAACATGTGTTTGTGACAACTGCTTCCTCTTTCAATTTCTATAATGCGAACAGGATATAACACGTTGACAGTAGTTTATAATCAAAATAAAAAGGAAAAAGGCTTCAGATTATCTCGTAACACTCAGTTTTCTCGGTTCTCACAAAATATTCTTCTAAAAAAATAGAGTAAGCAGGGACACAGCACTTTAGATCGATAACATTTTCATAACTTGCTCTTGTCTGTGATCATATGGTCTAGTGTGTTGTTACCGGCTCACTTTGCTGAAAGACCTATATGAAACCAAGACCCCACGCCTCATACCGGATTGTCTATATTTTACAATGTAATAAGTTTTTCTTTGTTAATACAAACTGGCAATGTTACTGATGGAACACTGCGAGTGGGTGAGACAAAAATCCACTTGGTTTAATGAATAATTTCAGAGCTTACCTTAAAACGACGTTTCGTCAACGACGGAGCGTGGAATTCGTCCTTAAGAACCTGTTAAATTTGTAAATTTTTGCAAGACCGAAGATATTTTGATGAGTTCTTCAGAAGGTGACTTATAACAAGAACGGTGTCGAGAGGATACTCTTTTCCTAGTACTCGACCGCGACAGGATGCAAATGACTCACTTTTTGTTTCACGACCATACTGATGTTTTTACCATTGCGTGACACTCTCAGGAAAACCAAAAGTTGATGATACATCGTTAACTTTCCCGAGGAAATGAGTCATGAATAGTGAATAATACCCGGGCGCACGTAAATGTGAATTTGGTCGGTGGAATACAATTCAAGCACGTACAAAATTGACTAATGTTCGTGTAGTGCAATGATTGGGTATGTTCTAGCGGACTTCGGACGTTGTTTTTATGGTACGTGATGGAACGTGAGTTGTTAGGCATGTAACAAAAAAAGAGCATGACTTTCAGACGGACGAAAATATCCCGTTAATTCACCCTGAGAGAAAAAAAAACTTAACTTATCTGAACTCACACCACAGGCAGCCCAAGCTCCAGCCGTGAGATGATTATCTTGCGAAATAAGATTCAAGGTGATTTTTTCGGATCTTCTTTATATGGCGGTGACACACCTGAGTATTTTTAGGAGCTGTGTCGTATTTTGACTTCCCCCACAGGCTCGTCGAATTCAAACAAGGAGTGAAAATACTAGGAAATACTACACACCAATGAATAGTCTACTAGGTTATTTATGATCCAAGTGCTTTTTTTTTTTCCCGCCAAGTCTTTCTGCTCATTTCTCATAAGGCGGGAAAAGCAAAGTGGATAGAGAAGCGCAGCGTGCGTAGCCGACCGGTCAAACAGATTTTTTTACAGAACAAAATAACCAACTGTACACATGTGGTATATACATATATTCGCGTTATTTGAACTCTACCTTGTGCAGTTGGGTTATAAAATCAAATTATCTCGTTGTACCCCTCACCGATACAGCACCACAATTTCCTTAGAAACTAAACCCATTTATTCATACGTTGGTGCGAGGCCAAAAGCAACCAAAATATACTTAATAGACTGCACTTGGAGTAGAAATCTCCCAAAAACTTAGCATACTTCGTATACACATACCTTAACATTACTAAAATACTTCTCGAGCGCTTCACATAACATTATTCTCTCACTTTCATACGATTTAATTAGCTATACTTTATGTAATTACTTTTATTATTTTGACATTTTTTCTCAGTATTTTTACATGTTTCCTTGTTACTCTAAACGCTTAACTTATGAGGTAAGTCTTAGAAACACAATCCACAAGCATCCCTCATGTTCGAAATGAGAGAAAACGAGTAGCTCCTAGGACGAGAGTGGGCACCCTGTGATTTTTCTTTCCTTCCAAAGTAATGCAGTTGCAAAGGATGTTCCTATCGTCGTTGAAAAGCCTTTCCCAAAAGAAACTTATTCCCCAACTACGCTCCCTGACACATATAAAACAATAATCGCTTTTCGGCACAGAGAGAAGTTTATTAAGAATACGAACGAAAAGTAAACAACAGCCAATGATGTGCTGAGTAAACCTCTCTGCCACCCTATGACATCACGTAAAATCACCGAGGGTGGGAGGGTAGGTGGGAAGAAAAACAAAACAATACAATACAAAATATCTGGCGTTCGCTTGAGGTGAAAAATGACGTGAAATGAAACACAAAACTCCTGAAGCCTGATACTAGAGGGCGTGTGTTGCGTGTGAATTGCTTTAGGGAAACAAACGTCACGACTTACAGAAATAACAGCGTTGATCTTGTGTGCCCGAGTGATTAAGGGGTAGGTTCCAGCTTAAAGTCCTTTACCCTGCAACTTACTGGATTTGTTCTCGATTGCTCGAGCTCAACTCCTTGGCTGCACTTTGTCTATAGCCGATTGGTTTGCCTCCGGCCAATTGAGATTTTTAAACTCTACGTTTACCTGCATTGTTTATTGACAATTTGTGTCAGTGGACAAGACGAGCCAACTCGTAGAATGTTTTACGGACCAGGTAAAATGAACTATGATATCCAAAGTGAAATACTTTCTAAAAACCTTTCCAGTTTTTGGAAGCTACGTTCTCATTCCCAGCATCTGAAAATGGATGTTCATATCTGGTACCCTATATATATTTCCATGCTTTTTGATATCGACAATTTGTTGTGATATCAAAGTTTCAATCCAGTATTGTCACTTTTTGTCTTTTCATTGCCAGTCCGTCAAACTGTGTAATGAACTTGTGGCCAAAATTTACTTAATGGTCACTGCTTGTGGTCAAAGGTGTAATATCATCTCTTTTGTACCATTCACGGGTCAGATGAGCGAGGCTTACTTTTGGCGAGGAATGTTCGTTAATTTATAGCCACGTGGTTTCATGCTACGTACGAAGCAGAACTTAGCACTCATATGTTTCTTTCATTTTCACATGTTGGCAAGCAAACTAAGCATCAACGACAAAACAGCTTGCTTGAAGACTTGGTTTTCTTGCGGGAGGACGCGCTCTTTTCATTATTTCCTGGAAAGCTCCCGATCTTTCTCATTCTTCTATCAAGAACCCTTTATTTGCGAGAAGTCTGTGCTAAATTCTCGCGGTCAGTGGTCGTTGCATCGTGGTGGCCAAAGCAACCGACAGCCCTACACTGGTTTACCTGCGGAAAGACGCACCCCTTTGTTTTTCCTGATAAGCTCCCGATCTTTCTCAGTCTCGTTTCTTGGACTTGTCTGTTGCCTTTGCAATCGCTTTGAGTAAATTAGAGCCTGAGGTAGTCAATGGGCGAACGTTTATTAAAATCTGTCAATAACCTCCTCTCCAGCAGTCTGCGCACTCGGGCAGTTTCCCGCACTTTCCTGAACCAGAGCAAAGGCGCCTGAAAACGAGGTAGAAGTTACGTATACTTGCTAATCTGTTGATTGGTTTATTATCTCGTCTGTTACGTCATCACGACGCGCGAAAATTACAACCCGTCATCATAACTTTCCGTTGGTTGGAGTTAGGCGCTTCATAAGTCATTCGGAGGAAAATTCAAGAAAGTGATGGAAGCAATCAAAGAGATGAGCCCTGTAAAGGTGAGTACTATTCGTTGTTAATTTTTTTTGTACTTAGGGTGGTTAAAATGAGCTCCTAGCTATATTTCGTCGGACACATTCGGAATTTGTCGTGTGCCAGGCCTTTGGGCTCCTGCATACATAAAGTTGAGTTGTCTTTAAATTAGAAGAAAAAGAAGAATTCATATGTGTTGGAAGAGGAAGCCAAGAGACAAAGAGTAGGGTGTAAACGCAAGGAAATTTGACACCAAGAATAAATAGCTGAATAATGGGAAAGGGTTAGCTAAAAGTAATATTAAAGCGAAAATAATATATAATAATATATAATAGATAAAATCAACATTTTGCACGGTGTTTGTAATGTTACTTTTGCGATCACTTAGCTTCTCATTGAACAAATTCTATGCATCACGCAAATGTTTTCATTACTGTTTTTGGATTGGACTCATATCCCCAAAACTCAAGTGAAAAGTGACACCGTTTGAAATGAACACGGAGCATGGAAAAAAAACGGAGCTGGGGACCAAAGAAACTCCAAAGGGCGGGCACCAAAGCAAGCGCAAGGAAATCCTATTCTTACTTATTGACAGCTACAGCCAACTAATAAACATAAACGTCTGCGAAATCAAGATGCGCAGGTCTTAGATAATCAAAATGCGTCTTTTATACGAATAAAACAACAACACAACCATGGCAACAACAACAACAAATACAACAGTCTTAGAGATCGACGGAATAGCACCGCTCCGGATGGCCTTGTTAGTAGTCCAAAATGGCGCATGGTCAGAACAAATCTGACTAGGTTTCGATCTTTCAGCGTATTGTGTGGTTAAGAACAATGAGAATTCGGGAAGATTTTGTCGCGGCAAGTGGATCTTTTCACGCGTGAAATGAGAATAAAATGCGCGCGCTTCATTCATGAGCAGAGTTGTCAAAAATCTCGGGCATCAAGTGGAAAGGATACCAGGAATGTGCAGACAAGGGATAGGCAGAAAACGAACTATTTTCAAGAAAACATAGCACTATGGAAAACATTGCAAGATGGAATATCTGAACAAGGTTTTTTCCTATTCGTGCTATAGTGCGGTATTTTTGCGCGCTTACAGGCTGGAGACTTATTTACTAGCGAGGTTTCTTTTATACTGAATTTCCAATCTCATTCGTCATTCTTTTTGTTTGAAATAACTTTTTCAATTTTTGGGGATGATCGCCACCCTTGGCTTAAAAGGAATCTTCTCAAGAAAAGTGTCAGGGCACGACGTGGACCCTGGTTACGAGTCAAAACATTGTCTTTACAGGGGAGGGGCAGGGAATAAATTTATGGCTAAAACATGGCGAACTTTTCTAACGATCCCAATCGATCGTCTGGCAGACGTTATGAAAGGAGAGTATTAGAGAGTATTGGACAGAGTATCTCTGTCCAAAAACGTGAAGGAGAACTCTAAGTGATCGATAGAGAGGAAAGAAATCTTCAGCTGCTCGTTCATTTTCTTCAAACGTTCACTTTAGTATGGCGGCCGTTTTTGTCGAATTGCTGGACACTCAATTTTTATGGTGAGGGTCTGTTTGTCGTAGAAATGAAATAATCTACCTTTTCAAGAAAGAGCGCAATTGGATTATTTTACATATTGCAATGGCGCACTTTTTAGCTTTTTTTCAACATTTCCCAATTGGAAACTAACTAACCTTGTCTAAAGTGCACTAGATTCTCCTTATTTTCAAACCCTGTTTATCAAATCTCTTTGAGTCCACTTTGCATAAACCTACAAGGATTTATCAGCTTTTGCTTTTGCCAGTCTGTATATTGTGACAGAACTCTAAAGAATTAAGATTTAGTTTGTATATCATACATGAACTACTTGAACCTCTAAAGGAATCAAGACCAGGGTAATAGTTTCTACTTTACTTTTCTAAAGTGACTTTTCTCCTTTTTAATGTGTAAAAAAAGCATTTTATTTTTTTCATTTTAAACTTGACCCATTAGCTACCTTAAAGCTAGGAGCCTGTTAAGTACCAGGTTCTTGAGTTTAAATATAGAATTATGTATGCACCGGTTGGCTTCAAATGGGGTTTCAAATAAGTGTAGTGCATGCTGTGCTTCAGGAACAATTTGTATCAAAAGAATCAATCATAATCAATCCTTTTTTAATTAATCATTGTCATTAATATTGTAACAGCAAATGGGAAGTTTATTAATACTTTTCTCTTTCACAGTTTTTCAGCTAAGAAATAATTATAATGATTTATTACTTTCAGAATGCTCCTCCCAGTTCTAGGGAGCCAATGAAAATCAAGGAACAGCAGCTTGACCTTTACATTGAGAGAATAATAGAAGCTGCTGCATCAAGCTTGGGGGACGTTGTTGTAAGGGTATCAAGCAGCACTAAACAGTCAGAGAAAGATTTTGGTAATAGAAGTGCATCATCTTTAAATGTGTTTGGAATCTTGACATCATCCTATAGTGAAGTGACACCAAGTGAGAGTCTTACTGCAGTCTGTGAGCCTGAGGGAGGAACAATAGTCAATGCCCCCAGTCAAGAAGGTAATTACTGCTGTTTCATGAGTATTCTCTATTGCAATAAGTTCAGCCATGGCTACCATCAGCCTTTTGTAACCCAGGTGGACTATTATCCCAATCTGTAGTTACTTAGGATAGTTAACTTTTTGTCTTAATGCAGTCTTTGAGCCTGGGGGAGGGACTCCAATTCCAGCTCAGAAATATGAGGCCTCCCCAGCAATTGATGCCCCCAGTCAAGAAGGTAATTACTGCTCTTTAATTAGTATGTTCTATTGCAAGTAGTTCAGCCAAGGGCTGTGGTTAGCCTTTTGTATATTCCAGTTGGAATATTCTCTCAATCTGTTATTACTTGGGATAGTTAACTTTTGTAAAATTTGCCAGTGTTTTAACTCTTTAACTTAAATATCTGAATGTTAATTCTCCCCACTAGCTGCTACACATTTCCTTGTAAATTAGTTATGAGTGTTTGATTAGATCAAGGTAAAAAGTTCTACCAGATAAGTTTGAAAATTCTCACTACCTGTTTGCTGGATAATGTGTGAATAATTTATTACAGGAAGAAGTAACATGTTAAATAGGGTTAAGCTGAAGAAGGAGTCATTTGCAATTATAATGCATTTGTAGACTCAGTATAAAGCTCGCCATGAGTGAAATATAGTTGATGTTCTATAATGGGGAATAATCAAGGAATTTTCTGTGAATGTTTACATATCTACTAAACACAAAAATAAACATTCAAATTGTCAACCATTTGACCTCTTCATAGTGCTTTTTCAGGAAAGCTCTAACCCCCCTGTTGATCAACCTCCCCAGTCCCCATCATCACCTGAGCCCAGTGGAAAGAAGATTGGAAGTAGAAAGTTCAATGGAACTTGCATTTGGTATAAAAGAACCTTTGATTTATTTAATTTTGTATATTCATTCATTAAACTTTATTGATTTTATTTTCACCTTCATTTGCCAAAATATGATGTAGGGGTGTCCTTTGGCAAGTGGTGGCTGTTGATTTTCCTTGGGATAACCTAAATTATCAGTGGGTGCATCAACAGTCACCCTGGCTTATGAGAAGGAACATGTTTACTATAGAATAAATAATGTAGACAGTTAACCTTTTTAAAAATCAAGACAGTGGTTAAGAAGTTCAATCAACATGGGCTGATCATTGATTAATGATTGAATGATTTTATTCTTGATTAGAAATCCTGCTGGTTCAAATGGCCATGAAAGTCTTCAGCGGTTAGGCCAACAACAGAGGACATTGAGAAAGGTAAATTGTAATGTAACTATCTTTGTGGTGAAAAATTTAAGGCAATAACATTCTATCATGCTCAGGGTTTTTACTGACAGTAAGCTCTCGTATCTGATGAGTATTTTCCTATGAATGATCGATAAAATACCTAAAGGTGAAAGGTTTTTTTTATGACTTTATTAACCATTTTGTATTGCATGAGATTTCAACTGCAAGGTGTGTGAAAAGTTGTGTGATTGTCTGGGTTGAGATAATTAATGTATAATTAATTTAAGGATTTCCTCTGATGAATTAACCACAATTGAATTAAAAGGAAATGTCACTATTTAACCAAAATTTTTCAAACCATGCAGACTCACAGGTTGAAGAAGATCGCATTGCTTTGGAACAATCTCATCTTACCTGTGATGAATATGATGTCAGCTGACTTTCTTCACAAAAATTGGTGAGTGATTGAAATCACAAGGGCTTGAGTGTTTGGTTCATGTAGTTTAAGAAAATAAATCTTAAAAGTGGTATGATAATCTTTTCTGAAAGGAGCTTTAAATATTTCTTTATTCAGATCACTGTGATGAATCAGGCAATGATGTTTTCCTTTTGAATGCTGGGAAGGTACCTTTAGTATCAAAACTGTTCCAAAGGTCAAAATCAAAGATGCTTACTGACAATCTCAGCTCATAAGTGAGAGTATTTCTTTAATTCTATGTTAATGACTAAACTATGTTAATGACTATGTTATCCAAAAGAAGACTTTTTAAGGTGGTAATTAGATGCACACTCTGCTCAGGATATTTGGGATCCAGTTGAAAGTGCAGTGTAGATACTCACATGATGGTTATATACAATTCAGTTATTCCTTGTTGTGCAAAATGCATTGAAATTGAGGTAAATTTTTTGTTTCCTGTAATCCAAGATTTTACATCTTGTATTACCAATCATTAACTACATGTGGGTTAATCATCTTTGTTTGATCTCTGAAGTTCAGAAATGCAGAAGAGTATATTAGAGTATATGAGCTCTTAATTCATCCAGCTCAAAATAATGTTCTCATTATGATTAATGGAAAGTAACGGCGTAGCAGTCAAGAGCTGGATTCAAATGTACATCAAGTTGCACTCACCTTCTTAATTAAAGTCAATTGAGACAAGATTGAAATTCATTTGACCTTAGAGTGTTGAGTTCTTTTTTTATTATTATTATTATTATTATTATAGCACAGCTATCATATCTAACCTCTCATAATTGCCTCAAGGAAAGTTGGGTTGACTCAATGAAAGTTGGGTTGACTCAATGACTGCTTTTGCATCCCCTAGTGAATATACTGGTGATTTCCTGTTATTGAAATGGATATCTCTGATCAGCCATACACATAGCATTTTAACCAACCACCATTACAACAATTTCAGGAAAAACTTGTGATGCTCATTGATATCTGGGGTAAGAGGTTACTTCTTTGTATGTTTAAGAGGCCAAGACAAGGCCTACATTCAAAATTATCACCTTTTTCAGAAAACTACTATTAACAGCCCAATAGCTTCCAAAGGGGAAAAATGCATATTAAAGCTCTCATCATCTTACCAAGTTTAAAATGTGAAATAGCCCTGTTGTTGTACAGTTTGGCCTTCAGTTCTTTCTCATTGCAGTTCATTTTAACTCCTTTGGTGTAAAAATGAATAGCATTGATGAAATCTCCTTTCTTGAAGGCCTCATTACCTTTATTCCTATAAACATCAGCTGTGGCTGCAAAGAAAATATTTTTAAAAAAGTCTGTGGTTGTAGTTAATAATTATTAGTGAATATAAGCAGAACTGCCAAGATCTGGAGATTCAAAATCTGCAGATTTTTTCCTTTAGTGCCAGATGCCACTTTTGCATCTGCCTGACTTAACCTATCCCCTGAAAAGCTCAGATAATGTGTGCAGTCCCTCCCCCTTCACAGGAAAGATCCCTCTCAGTAAATTAATGGGAGATTTTGTGGTTGAAAGCTCAACCAATCAGACTCAGTTACTATTGTGGTTGTTGTTTAGAAGAAAGTGTAATCCCTACTTTGAAACAGTCTAAGTGCAATCAAGAAAATTAAGATAAGAACCCTAATATTAATAAAAGGGAAGATAACATTAGATGTGGGAAATCTGGAGTTCGAATGTGATGTTTCTGTGTGGAGCTGAACCAAATCCTCTTTTATCTTGAAAGTTTGATGACCCATGTGGGAGACCCTCAGAGTCTGCTTCAGTGACTGTGAGACTCCCTGATAATCAGGGAGAGTTGGCATAATTATAGGTGTAGAAGAGTCTTCTGCTTTCAATACATTTAGATGGTTAATGAGTCAATAAGATCCAAATGTTGCAAGCATTAAACAACCAGAAGCAGTATTACTTAATATAGACAAACAGTATGTTATTGCCTAAATGATAAGAAAAATGATAAAAAAGATGATAGTTATGATAATGCTTATAATGTGGGTAACAATGGTGTTGATTATGATGATGATGATGATTAAGCATAAAACCTAAACCTTAATATAGACTTTTTCCTTCTAAGCCATTTGTTAGTAAAAGTGCATTGTTTACCTTAAACACCTCCACAGTTAGAGATCGATATAACACTTGTATTCTATTATAAAGTCTTGACACTTCTGATTCAAATTCCCCAATGTAGTCAGGCAAGGTTCAATCCCCCCCCCTTCCCTTGTTTGGCTTGGATGAAAATTGATCAAATGCTTGTGGGTTGCCCAGGGGAAAAGGAAGGGGGGAGGTTGAAGCTTTCAATTGATTGTTGCATTATAATGGGAAGATGATGATGATGATGGTAACTATGATGCAAACTTACAAAATGGATGTTGTACCATGATCAAATAAAGTATTTACTTATTATAACTTTTTGTACAGTGTACTTGCTTTGAACTTTTAGAAAAGAAAATAACAAAGGTTTCTGTGTCATAGATCCTCTAAATGAACAGCATATTGTAATCATAGAAGAGAGTCATAACTGTCCAAATATCTTTTAAAGTATTAATACAGTGTATAATTATATCCTTCTCCACATCTGCATACATTCTTGAAAATGGTGGAATAGAAGAAGTTCTAACAATAACTGAAGCTGAAGCTCAACACAGCTCACCTCGCAAAGTGTCCTCATCAAAATCTGGTGCATTTTCTTTTTCAGGTAAGTTTTCATTTTCACATGGAACTTTAATTGGACTTCTTTCTGTAGCCATAGCAACTGTAAGAAGACTGATGCTTCTTACAAAGGTGCTGCTTAAGTCATCCTGGCCTGAAAGAAAGTTGGTTGCAAATGGTAATAAACATCAGCTCAACATATTACCCAGTTGTAAAATAAATATTTTTTCCCTTCTGAGAATGGGAGGGATACAGAGACACAAAATCACAAGCAATTAATGTCATACTATAAAAGCAGCAAAAGAACAAAGATATGTACTAAAATATGATTCAATATTTATAAAATACATTTTCAATTGACTGAAATAAATTGGGAAAGTGTTGCAAGTTCATATAATTTGTTGCAACAGCAATTCAAATTATTTAAGAGGCTGAGGTAGTCGGGTAAAGTCTGTATTTGAGCAGTCACCATCTAGGCCCTGAGCTTATAATACTGGTTTCCTCACATGAAGTGAGTGGGAGTAACTACATCCCTTGGATGGGATGCTAGTCCATCCCCTTTCCCCCTGGCATTTCATCAGGCTTACCTGGCTAATTTCTGCTACCCATTTAAAGGTAAACTTTACTCAGATACCAATCTATCATTATCAGTTGATGACTTGGAATCCTAAAAATCAAAGGCAGTTAGTTGAAAGGACACTTCCAATAAATGACTAGGTGACATTTGAAGAAAAGTCATCGTTTCTCGAAATTTGACATGGAAATCAGTATAGCAGTACAGTTAAAAGGGAGAATCTAAGCAGTCTATCAAAAAAGGAAAAAAATTACTTTTAAACTGTATGAAATAATAAACATAAACACGTGAAATAAGCTGGAAATCTTTATAGGTTTTTGATCAAATGCATCATAAATAGGGGAGCACATTAAATTAATACTTATGTTAGCCTGACACTAGAGCTAGTGCAAAACACGATCATGATTGTGTGCAAGACACGCAGATGAAACTGAAAGTGTTCCGATCATCAGCGCCTGCACAAAATCAAATCCATGACTTTAATATTCCTTTTAATTCTCCCGAATTACTTATTTTATCCAAGGTAAATGCCGGGTATCGCCTGCGAATTTTTAGAATTCGACAGCTGTAACTTGTTCAAACAAGCTCAGCTTAATTAGCTCTTAAATAACACGAAGCGGTAATACAATTAATACACCCCAGAATCAAGTAAAAGTTAGCAATCCTCGTTAGTTAACCGCACGAACGTCTTTCACTGCCGGAGATCAGAGAAAATTAGGAAAGATTAAGAGCATTTGAGGGTGAAACTGTTGACTGAGAAATTCGAAATAACAGTATTTACCTTACATTCAAAAATCTGATAGAACCATGCGTTCTTACCTCTGTCGAGGAAATGGAAGGCACGTTTGACTGCTTTTTACGACCTTGCTTCCTCAATCCATCATGGAAGTGTTTTAAAAAAAGTCACTAAGACTGAGGAAGTACCAAGAGAGAGTCGACAGCTTCGTTATAGAACGAAGAATCTTAATTGCGCGTTGTAAAAACGAAAGGGGGAGTCCCCTAGTCCATAACTCTGTGCAAGCTGAAAACCGGAAGTGCGTGACTTTTGTCACGAAGCACCTCCATTCCTGCGAGTTCTCACGCGGTCTCGCTCTCTGCCGATATAGAGTCACGCACTCATTCAAAAAAGTAAATTCTAACTAAATTCTTAGTGAAGGAGTTGTCCTTGTATCAGGATCTTTCACTCATCTTTGACTCGGCAGTTAGTGGTCACGCAAACAATGTCTACCGTGAACAATGTCGCAAGAGCTCTTGTTGACAGGTTGACTGTGAAATTCGCAGGAGAAATCGCGCAAGACACTGATGGTTATGATCTAATCAAGCTCTGTGAGGACCTCTTCTTGACTGAGAATGAGAGGACGAGCATGTTCAGAGAAGGTATTCATTCTGATGATCTTTCGAAGATCAGATGCTATGCGGAAGATATGAAGAAATCAGGAGTTGTAAAAGAGAATAAGCTTATCGATGTCTATCGGAACAAATGTAGGATTCCATTGTATCATGAGATTCTGAAAGATCATGGAGTCTTCTTGACCTATTAATGAGATAACTTCTCATTTACAAAGACGCAATTTTGACAGAAGAACAAATAAAGGCACGCCACGACTTCTTTGCGAGAAGATACAACATTAATATTTGAAAATCTTCACACGAACAATTAACACCCTGATGGCGTGACAAGAGGATCGTTCAAGTTGATATTATTCACATCCTCTTCAGAACTCACGAGTGAGACATTCTGAAGAGGGTGTGAAGATTATTCACAAGTGAATAATTTAAGTTGTCCTTGAAATCAAAGTTGTCTCCAAAATGTGCAAGACCTGTTTTTTGAAATCAAGGTTGATTTCAAGGTTAAATTCATGAGTTGTCTTAAAAATCAAGGTGGTATTAAAATGCGCCAGAACCCCCATTTTTATCCCACTCAATGCGAAAACGGAAAAATGGAACCCACTTTTTAATTTTTATAATGGTACATGTTTTTGGTTAATCTTTCTAGGACTAGGTTATATACAAAGTTTCCCTTTAGTTTGAGTTCACATATTTGATTTACTCAATCAGTTGATAATTGATTCCCAGGAAGTGACTCAAACTAAGGTTTGAAGTTCACCAAGAATAAGATTTACTCATGCTGTCTCTTTAGTTACATTATTATTACATGTATTATGGCACTTGAAGTTGAGTTATACTTGACGAATGAGGAAAGTCCTCTTACAGCTTTGAGTTAAGTTAAGTCCTTACTTTTCAAAACAGCGAGATAGTGACTAAACATATCTGACACCACTACCTCACCTATTGAGCAAAAGGAAACTAAAATACTTATGCTGAAATTTTTCTTTGCATTCAGCATTGAGTCCTTCATCTAACTCAAAATAATATTCTGATCATAATGGAAAGTCATGGCACAGCAGTCAAGCGCTGCATTCAAATGTACATTAGGGTGGTCTCAACCTCTGAATTAAAGTCAATTGAGACAAGATTTAACATCATCTACCTTGGAGTGATAAATTCCCTTTTTTGTTGTAGCACAGCTGACATACCTAACTTCTCATAATTGCCTTGAGGAAAGTTAGATTTGACTGAATGGCTGCTTCTACATCCTTTATTGAGTCCTGGTTTTTATTATTTTATTTTATTTTTTTTACGTAAATACTGTTACTTTTCTAAGATATTTTTGTCAATTCCTCAGCATTTTAAGGTAAGTTTAAAACTAACGCGGAACGGCAGTTCTCTGCAACGAAGTATTGAAATTAAACTTAGCAATCATTGGTAGTTGTAGCAGACTTTCACAACACCAGAAATCTTAGAAAATCCGTCAAAAGAGTTCATTTAAGCTCAAAATAAAGGCATTTACCCGATGTATAAAGATCCTACACAACCTGGTTAAGTCACCCTGTCGGGTAAACGGACGCGACTTTTGACTGTTCTATAAGCTTTTTTTACAACCTTGCCACCTCAATCCGTTCTGGGAATGTCTCAAAGGAACTCATTAAGATTAGTAAGGTTCAAATAAAATTAAACAGAAGCGTTGTCGGACGCGAAATCTCAAGACAACTACCCAAACTACAAACTTGCCGACAGCGTTGCTGTCTAATATTAGGAGTTGTTTTTTCACGGGAAAAACTGAGGCTCAAGCTTGAAGTAGATGACACAGAAAACCGGAAGTAGAGAGCTTCTGCTGTATAGTATGACGAAATTATGGCTTTGTGGTTCAAAATACACACTGCGTCTTTCATGTGTCGCACTGTTCCAACATTAACAATTAAAACAAGGTAAATTATACAAATTTAGAACATTTAACTAGAGGGAAAGTTTTAAAACATTTAGTTCAAACGATATGGAATCGCTGAAAAACTAATCTATATAAGAGGTAAGGCGTAACAACAAGAAGCAGGAATTGTATAAAAAGAAGAGGCAACAACTTTTTACGCTCCAAGTGAGTGCAATCATTTCAGTGAGCTGGTCATGTGATCAGGGTAAGCGAAAACGAGTGACTCTGAGGACGAGAATGAAACTCTCTCGATTTTCGCTGTCTTTCTCACTCCAAAGGTATATGGAAACAAAGAATGTTCCTGTCGTCGATGAAAAACTTTTCCCAAAAGAATTTCATTAACTTAATTCTAAAAGTGGTTGTACCAAAGACCTCCAGCAGTTCGTTTACGGTATCCAAATTCAAATCGAGCGAGTTCTTAGCTCGATCTGTTTTATGCATCTCGCGGATTTCCACACTCAGGGCTAAAAGGGTAGCCATGAGATTGATAAAGGTAACAATGAAAAACAAGAACACTGTCAGTTTAGATATAACAAAAATGTAAATGGGATATTTCTGCTTTAGGGAGTTTAACCTGGTGTAATTTAAAAATCCCACGACCAAAGTTCTCAGAATGTAACTTACCATCAAGCAAACAATTACGACCCAAGATGACAAAGATTTGATAGAAATTAGTAGCTTAATATATCGAAACAAGGCGACGGTCAAAAGGATTATTAAAGTCCAAAATGAAGGAACGTATTTGAGCAGATGTAAGATTGCCTTGTAACCGGGGAACTGCGGAACATTCTGAAGGGCAGCTATAGAGATAGCGGTGAAAATACATAGCGAAGCCAGCCACACCATCGTGACATCCTCTGAAAAGGGAAAGCCGCATCTGTTTTGCACTGATATGCAGTGGATTTGTCCCGGAAGCAAGCAACATCACGAACCATGTACAAAAATGCTCCAACTAGCTGCCATAGCAACAACAAACTGAAAGCCAGTGCTGAGAGTTTTACATGATACGGATTTCTTTGTCTTTGTCCTGGAAAAAAGTGCCAGTAGCAATCGGCTGATTCCTGTAACAGTGGCCGGCGTATCTCGATACAAGTCGTCATGGCAATGTCAACACCACCTGACTAGGATAAGATAAAATTAAGTTGACCTTATAATGAAACAAATATAAGAAAAATATTACAAAGAGTTTCCCATTGATATCAGCTGCACCCCTAAGCGGTCGAAAGACTCCATCACTTTTAACCGAATATACGGTAGTTTTTTTTACCCTAGTTCTTATTCTTGAGAACTTAAAAGATTACAACTGTTATGGTAAATACAGTAACACGTTCTTTAAGTGCCTTCGCCGTAAGCTAAACCAGCTTTTACGTATGTAGCACTTGTGATTGGTTTCTTTGATCACCAGACAATCGTGTATGATCAATACAGTTTACCCTGATACTGACATAATTTTTCAGCATACCTCCTATTCGCTCTCCTGCGAATTATCTCTTGACAAACCTTATTACGCCTCAGCTTCTTGGGAAGGAAATAACACAGTGATACTCCGCAGCTAAGAGAACCCGTGTTAATCATTAGTTAGCTGTATTTTCCAATTGTCATTTCTTAGGAGGAAAACTTCAAGATATTTAGACCCTTTTTGAAGCTAGATTCCTTTTCTTTTCCAGTCTTTCGAGTTAATGTTCCATGCAAAGCATTTCCTTGTTGATTTCTGTACCTTGTTTGAACGGAATTTGATCATATGAATTAACGTTTAAGCGTTTGACGAAAATGAAATACTGTATGCATAAATCAATTGATTGAACAACTTGTCAGTTTAGTCGTTGTCTGAGTCACTGCAAACAGCGAAACTGTCGATATACTTCTTTTCATTTCTGTTTACGGCGAAAATATAGATATTTTTCACTGATTTATGATATAATTAAATGAAATATTGAATGTAAAGATCCTTGTTAATCAGTTCGGGTTAGATTAGGAGCAATCCTTTGAATCAACCTCACCTCTTATTATTTTAAATACTGAATTAGATGCGTTTGAACAAGTACGTAACAAAGAGAGCACGCAGTCTCAGTATTAAAAATAAAATAGAATTGGATCATCAGGGTTTAAACCCGTTTATATGTTAATTGGAAACAAAAGAATTAACTAACAATTTCGCTTGAAACACGAAAACACGAATACTATGCCATGTGCATTTCTGACCAGACGAGGAAATGTGAATTCAAACTCTCTGCGTCCCCATAGATAGATTGTGAACGCAACCTCGTCCGTCGACCAAACGGCGGTTTTTTCAAGCAGAAATTCGGAATTTTTCCCTTTTCAGTTAGTGTGAACAACAAGTCAAGATGTTGGTCGATATAAAGACAAACGTTTTGCACAGATAACGTCAGAGTTTTTATACACCACCCATCATCACAGCGCATGACAGCTTTCTTAAACTGTAAATGCCATGGGTTGTTTTGCCTCGCGAAATAACAGAATCGAAATAGAAGTCTCAGTTACTGCGGCAACATCGACTTCAAGAATCAGAGACATTCCGCTGTCACACGAACAAAAATGCATTCTAAGAGAATTTTGGCAGCTCATTGAGCGCATTAGGAGCGTCATAGGAAAGAAAGTGTTTAAACGGTAAGTGTTTTAAAGGGTCTTGCATTAGCAGGCAAGTCAAGAATTTAAAGAAAACGAAAAACTTTTGAGTTTGTAAAACATGTTTCGACAGAAACTTCTGTCATCTTCAGTTAATTTCTGTACAAAGCGGTGAAAGTTGAATTATAGAGTAAGTAGAACAATGCTAATTAAGATGAATAGTGACAACAAGAAGAGAGGTAAAGCATGCAAGTGTGAGAATTAAAAAAGATAGTTTTAGATTTACATGGTGCAATTGTTGATTCAAAGATGGTTGTTCTCTTTGAATACGAATAGCCTCTTTCATTTTAAGCTGAAAACCGGTGGAGGCGTGATCTAAAACATGGAAGTTATCTGCTGAACATAGAGCGCGACAGTGCGGAGAATCTTTCAAATGCCTGAAAATGTGAGAGGCCTTGTCACTTACTAAGTGCTTGCTAACACGTGTGGAAAAATTCCGGCAGGTTTCACTGACGTAACAGGCATTACACCAGCACATACTTATAGAGCACTCGTGAACGGAGCCCGTCAGGGACAGGGTCTTTCACACCAAACAAGTTACCGATTTTGAAGGAAGAGAAAACCAGTTTGATATCCAAGTCATTGCGATAGCGCTTCATAAATGACGGATCTTTTTTTGAGTGATAGCAGAAAAGTGGCCTATGTAGGGTAGCTTAAAGTAGAACGTAGGTGAAATGGTAGGAGGGGAACCCCGGAGATGATGATTGTTTTGAGTCCCAGTAATGAAACAGTTTATAATCTTCTCGATTAATTAAATGAGCAGGGAAAAGATTCTTTTTTAGAATATCAGTGAGTTTGTTAATGTCTTCGTGAAACCCTAACCAGGTGCTATTAATCTTGTAAGCCCTATCAACGAGTGTCTTAATGAGATCCACTTTGTAAGAGTACGAGGTGAAGCTGAAATAATTAGTTAGTAACCCAGTGAAATTTTTCTTGCGGTAAATCCTAGTTAGAGAGGAACTGGGGTCATGGTTGTCAATCAGGACATCTAAAAAGAGTAATTTGTGATTAAACTGCTTTTCCATAGTGAACTTGATGTTAGGGTGCCTAGAGTTGATATACTCGAATATTACACAAAGAAGTAAAAAAAGCACAATGATACTGCATTAAAACGTTCAAGGCATTAAGTAAAATACGCGCTAAACGGAGACGCTAAAATGAACCCATTTACTCCCAAGACTGATCATAATTTAAATTCTCCTCACGGTATTAATACACCGACAAACATGGAGTCAATAACAATTCGAGATAATCCATACTGGAGGATAATCTTTTCCTAGAAACATAATGTTACATCGAATTCTCGGAACAAGCGGCAGCTAAGAGAAACACATTCTTATCAGTTGGGAGAATTTTTCTTCAGAACTTGGGAGTTCATGAGTTAATTAATATAATCTAAGGTAAATTAACAATTATCTTCAACTTAAAATAGCATCAAAACACTTCACACGAAATACACTGACATTATACAAACCATGTTTAGTTGAAACTGTCCCAGCATGTCTTTAAAATCCTAGTTACATTATATTCAACCATGCATATCATCAGACATCCTCAAATCATGCTGAGGTAAATTTAAAGCGATGAAAAAATTTCAAGAGGTGATTTTCAACAATTAGAAGTTTTATTCTGAAGCCCTGAACCTTTTCAACTTTTACATTAATTCATGAGCTTTTCACCAAAATAATTCCCATTGAGGACTACATGGCTTACGTTAACTACTTCTCTCATTTATGAGCGTAAATATTGTCGTACTAGAAACAACAAATTCCATGTCACATACAATAAAAGTCACACCTGTGGAAACCTTAATTATAGTGAACTCTGCGTCCCTCTTTCCTAGTTTAGATTACATGGACAATTTTTAGCCTCTCTGTCGTCGTTCTTTAAAACGAACGGCCAGACTCGTTTGATTGAAAACAGGGTTGTAGCCAGCTTTCTGACTAAATGTAAGCCTCTTCCCTCACAAATTTCAATTTTTGTTTCCACATTTGCAAGGGTCATATTATCTTTTAGTAAAAGTCAAGGGGGCAGAAAACAATTGTAGGCCGGGCCAACGGGACTAGAGGCTGGCTACACCCCTAAAAGTAGGTGTAATGTCTCTAACATATGGTTAGTAAATTTAATAACATCATCTCTGATGTTTAATTCTTCAAATTAAGCCTAGAATGGCAATCTTGGCACTGACAGAATTAGATTGCATTCAAATGGATTGAGTTCAAAATGGTAATCAATTTTTTTGTAAAGATGAAGGTAAATTGTAACAAAGTAATTTATGATGCAGAAAACGGCCTAAGATCAATTCACATATTCAATTCACATACATATTCAATTAAAGTTTTGGAAATAAAAATTCGCCAACTTTTGCAAATAACGAATTGTTTCTTTGCTTATCAAAAGCTTAGAGCATAAAGGTAATTCGGTGAAAAAGCTCCTGGTTGGGTAAAAGAAATAACCGTTAAATTATTTTCCATACAACTGATTGTAATACAGGAACAGAGCTGAGTGACATGTTGGTGGAAATGGAAACCTCGTTCATAACAGAGGCCTTGTTGCATTTCATTCTCTTCGCAAAGCATTTAAATTTGTTAAGGTAACCAAAAAAGACAATTCTGCTGATCAAAATATAATGAAATAGACTGGTTTATTTCTTCACCATAGTAAAGTTGCACATCTCAAGTTCCATTTAACAAAAAATTAAAAAGTAAAGAAAAATAGCCAAAAATTGTTTAAATAGACAAACATTTAAACCTTCCAAGTTCCTACTTCATTCTTTTGAGATGAAAAAAAAAATTTTCTCATTTATTTGATTTTCTATTCAAATTTTCTCTTTCCTTTGCCATCAGATCAAACGTGAGGTCATCTCCAATCAGCATAAAGGGCGCCCAGTATTTGATGTCGTGGAACTCATCTGATTCTCTGAGGCTTTTCATGGCCAGGTTCAGTGACTTGCTTGTAGGTTTACCTTCTGCAAGGTGTTGATAAAAGCATTTCATGAACTGGAGAGTAGCCTCGTCATCAATCTTCCACAGGGACACCACAACAGACCGAGCACCAGCCCCCATAAAAGCGCGCGCAATGCCAACCACACCTTCAGCCTTGATCTCGCCCCGACCACTGTGGCAGCAACTGAGCACAACAAGTTTGGCGCGAAGTTGAACATTCAACACATCTCGAATCGTTAAAATGTAATCCTCCTTCTCCGTAGGCACAGTAGATATTCGGTCTAGGTCAGGTGTAAGAGCAATTTCGCCAGTTTCCGCACATCCGTGCGCCGCAAAGTGAACTAAGGAAACGGAACTGAGTCTTTTCAACACCTCACGTTTCGTGGCTTTTCTGCCAGTGATTGGCGTGATATTCAGAATTTTTCCAATCATTTCTACTTCTTCTTTAGCATACGGAAGCTGCCCGAGGACTTTCTCTCCCTCGCTGTTAGTAACCTCGGATACCCACGGATCTCCTACAAGTAACGCATCACTGCTTTTGTGATAATCATCTGGGCAATCGGCAATGAGTCTAAGACTTGCTAACGATGGAGCGACTCGGATTGTGAACGATTCACACAGGTATTTAGAATTACCATCCTTTAATGCAGCGTAAGGAGCGATCCACAGGGGTCCATCAGGAATAATGAGTAGCTCATCCCCTTCAATCAAGTCAGCCACTGGCTTCATAACGATATCATATAAAGTGCTCAAGCATCCGTCTTGTTGGATGTGAGGTTGAGGGTTGGCTTCTTTGGTTTTCTCATCCACTTTTGAACGGCCCTCCCTCAAAGCATCTAAAGATCGATTCTCGCATCTCACATTAGAACGAACACCAAGTTGTGTATAGACACCGAGCATGAACGACTCAAAGGACTGGCTAGATCCACTATTCTCTGAAACAAAACCTTTCAGCTTTCTTTGTCTTAACTGAACTTGTTTTCCTTCGGACACAACCCAAAGATTGACGTTAGCTTCGTCCACTGCCTGAAAGACAGTGTTTGATGGAACGTTTTTTAAAACTGCGCAATCTTCATCTTCTCCCTTGTGGTGACTTGTTCCACCACGAAAACTGGATTCCATGAGGTCGGTTAGAGCTTGAGCTCGTCCTTTCTCAGCAACTAATAAGGCTTCATCTACATTACCTTGTTCTACGAGAACTCTCCACAAACCCGTATACGCCACTTGATACTGATTTCGAAAATTAACTTTCCACTCATCTTTAGATTTTAGAAGTACTCTCAAGGAATTGAATAAGTTTATGCTCGCTTGGTAATGTTCAACGGCTTTTGGCAATCCACCTTGCAACTCGAAAACGCATCCTAATGAACAGTAGGCCATTGCCTCCAAGGATTTGTCTCCTACTTCTTTACCTATTTTAAGATTTAGGTTGTGGTACTCTATGGCTTTTTTAAAATCACCCAGACTGTCATAAGCATTGCCAAGATTGCCATAAGCGTTACCCTCCCCATGCTTGTCTCCTACTTCTTTAGCTATTTTAAGATGTAGGTTGTGGTACTCTATGGCTTTTTTGAAATCACCCAGAAGGTGATAATCATTGCCAAGATTGCCATAAGCGTTACCCTCCCATGCTTGTCTCCTACTTCTTTAGCTATTTTAAGATGTAGGTCGTGGTACTCGATGGCTTTTTTGAAATCACCCCGACGGTGATAAGCATTGCCAAGATTGCCATAAGCGTTACCCTCCCCATGCTTGTCTCCTACTTCTTTAGCTATTTTAAGATGTAGGTTGTGGTACTCTATGGCTTTTTTGAAATCACCCAGACGGTGATAAGCATTGCCAAGATTGCCATAAGCAACACCCTCCTCATGCTTGTCTCCTACTTCTTTAGCTATTTTAAGATGTAGGTCGTGGTACTCTATGGCTTTTTTGAAATCACCCAGACTGTCATAAGCATTGCCAAGATTGCCATAAGTACCACCCTCCCCATGCTTGTCTCCTACTTCTTTAGCTATTTTAAGATCTAGGTTGTGGTACTCTATGGCTTTTTTGAAATCACTCAGACTAAAATAAGCATTGCCAAGATTGCCATAGGCGTTACCCTCCCCATGCTTGTCTCCTACTTCTTTAGCTATTTTAAGATGTAGGTTGTGGTACTCTATGGCTTTTTTGAAATCACCCAGACTGTCATAAGCATTGCCAAGATTGCCATAAGCAACACCCTCCCCTTGCTTGTCTCCTACGGCTTTAGTTATTTTAAGATGTAGGTTGTGGTACTCTATGGCTTTTTTGAAATCACCCAGACGGTGATAATCATTGCCAAGATTGCCATAAGCGTTACCCTCCCCATGCTTGTCTCCTACTTCTTTAGCTATTTTAAGATGTAGGTTGTGGTACTCTATGGCTTTTTTGAAATCACCCAGACGGTGATAAGCATTGCCAAGATTGCCATAAGCAACACCCTCCCCATGCTTGTCTCCTACTTCTTTAGCTATTTTAAGATGTAGGTTGTGGTACTCTATGGCTTTTTTGAAATCACCCAGACTAATATAAGCATTGCCAAGATTGCCATAAGCGTTACCCTCCCCATGCTTGTCTCCTACTTCTTTAGCTATTTTAAGATCTAGGTTGTGGTACTCTATGGCTTTTTTGAAATCACCCAAACTAAAATAAGCATTGCCGAGATTGCCATAAGCACCACCCTCCCCATGCTTGTCTCCTACTTCTTTAGCTATTTTAAGATGTAGGTTGTGGTACTCTATGGCTTTTTTGAAATCACCCAGACGGTGATAAGCATTGCCAAGATTGCCATAAGCGTTACCCTCCCCATGCTTGTCTCCTACTTCTTTAGCTATTTTAAGATGTAGGTTGTGGTACTCTATGGCTTTTTTGAAATCACCCAGACTAAAATAAGCATTGCCAAGATTGCCATAAGCGTTACCCTCCCCATGCTTGTCTCCTACTTCTTTAGCTATTTTAAGATGTAGGTCGTGGTACTCTATGGCTTTTTTGAAATCACCCAGACGGCCATAAGCATTTCCAAGATTGCCATAAGCACCACCCTCCCCATGCTTGTGTCCTACTTCTCTAGCTATTTTAAGATGTAAGTTGTGGTACTCTATGGCTTTTTTGAAATCACCCAGACGGTGATAAGCATTGCCAAGATTGCCATAAGCAACACCCTCTCCATGCTTGTCTCCTACTTCTTTAGCTATTTTAAGATCTAGGTTGTGGTACTCTATGGCTTTTTTGAAATCACCCAGACTGTCATAAGCATTGCCAAGATTGCCATAAGTACCACCCTCCCCATGCTTGTCTCCTACTTCTTTAGCTATTTTAAGATGTAGGTTGTGGTACTCTATGGCTTTTTTGAAATCACTCAGACTAAAATAAGCATTGCCAAGATTGCCATAAGCGTTACCCTCCCCATGCTTGTCTCCTACTTCTTTAGCTATTTTAAGATGTAGGTTGTGGTACTCTATGGCTTTTTTGAAATCACCCAGACTGTCATAAGCATTGCCAAGATTGCCATAAGCAACACCCTCCCCTTTCTTGTCTCCTACGGCTTTAGTTATTTTAAGATGTAGGTTGTGGTACTCTATGGCTTTTTTGAAATCACCCAAACTAAAATAAGCATTACCGAGATTGCCATAAGCACCACCCTCCCCATGCTTGTCTCCTACTTCTTTAGCTTTTTTAAGATCTAGGTTGTGGTACTCTATGGTTTTTTTTTGAAATCACCCAGACGGTGATAAGCATTGCCAAGATTGCCATAAGCGTTACCCTCCCCATGCTTGTCTCCTACTTCTTTAGCTTTTTTAAGATATAGGTTGAGGTACTCTATGGCTTCTTCTCCCCGATCACAGAGATCTATGACTTTCTTGACATTACCTGAACTTGCACTACCGTGGTCATGACTAATAGGATCTTTTTCCTCCATGGACTTATCTCCCACTTCACTGAGAGACTGAAGTCTTAATGACAACAAAATCCTATTGTTTTTGTCAATCTTTTTTATGTTAAGGGTTAAAAATGTGGAAAAAAGAAAGAAATATTATTTTTCTGATCATATTAATTTATGATAGTCCATTTTAACATTTGCTTGCTTGGTTCTCGAGCATTTGAACAGGAGTGTGGCTAAGGGTGACCTTGTTATGATAAAAACATTGCTGCTATTTAAAGCAAACTACTTTGTTATTATCGTTTCTAGATACTGGTCTCTATCACAACAAGGTCATCTTCAGCTTTACTCCAAATCAAAGGCTTGGCAACTAAGTACACAACTATAAAATGGCCCATTAGGAGGGCTTGCATGAAAGATAGATGTTTTATCAACATTCAGTCTTAAAGTCAGTTATGAAGTAAATTTACATTTCAAAAAATCTTTTTTCAGTGTGCAGCCTCAAAATTTAACGCGAAATATCTAAATTTAATCCCTACTTTCCAAAAACTGAGCAGCAATTTAATTTTTAAATTAATATAGCTTTAACATCAGACGAATGTTAACAGCAGTGGAAGAAATGAGTCTACAACACCAATACGTGTCTTTAAAATTTTTATTTGTCCATAGTGGAAAAAGGTCGAAGGCAAGAAAATCTGCATAAGATATCTAAACATTACCGAGCGTTTTGTTCTGGCTTGTTTTAGAGAGATCATCTACCCACGTACCATCACTAATGTACCAGTTATTGGCATGGATAGTATGACTAAGTCAAATTGGCTAAAAGGAGTAATACCTTTAATAAGTCATGAGGTAATAACTTTTCCTACGTTTCTTAATAACACACACTTAAAGTATGTGAGCTGACAAGTTCCCATCATAATTAATACCCTTCTTTGTGTTTTCTCCCTTGAAACACCAAATTATGGAAACTATTTCCATTATACCCACGGTTAAAAATGAAAGATTCCTTCAAAGGATACAGCTAGTCCCTTATCACACCAAGTAATTGCTTCTTCAAATCTCTTCAATTCAACACAAGCAGTGGCTCCTGTAGGCAACAACACAAAGAAGCATACTATTAATGTAGCTCAATTCTGAGAAAAGAACCTGAAACCATTGAAATCATTACAGACCAGAAGAAAAAAAGACAAAACAAAGAAACTAAACGGAAAAGAATAAACAGGCCCTATTAGGTTTCAGTTAGATTTATTTAGCTTTAAAGACAACTAAAACTTCCAAGAACATTTAAATTGGGATCAACAACTCCCACAAAAACACTAAGAGTTAGTTAAGTCCTGATGCTTCTTTTTAAAACAGCCAGATAGTGACTTAAGAGCGTGTCCACGAGAACACCAGCAGTCGTGCTACGTGCCACGTGCCATCCCACCGATTTCAGTGAAACTTTGCCAATTTAAAGGGTCTACCCAAAACTAAAAAAAAAAGACTGGTTTCTGTTTTAGTTTTTCCGGAGGGAGATAGACCAACCCCCCGGTTTTTCTTCGTTTTCACCAAGGAAATCGCTTCAACTAAATAAAGTGTATGAAGCTCTCACTGCGATGGTATTTAACCGATTACTCTGAGGGTTTGCACACATATTTTTACATCTTCAGTTAATAGGCGACGCGAGTATCAGTCACTTTGATCTACGGCTTGTCAATCAACAGAGGTAAATATACAACTGTGTTTTAGACTTTTCGATTCATCCAAGTATTTGACAACTTTGAGGTCAAATTTCTCCCGTTGCCAGAAAGCTACGACACTAATCTTAATCAGTCCGGGGCATAACCATTTCTGGATACTTGATGACGTCACCAACATGGATGTCGTAGTGGGACATCGAGGAAACTCACTCATTACTTTATTCGAGCCCTAGCAACTTAGTTCCCTACCCATATCCCATGAAACCTTGCAAAATTACAGAAGACAAGCAATTACACACAACAAGGAAAGAACTGATGGTGGTCGCGATGACGAGAAGGAAAAATTCAGATGAAAAGTCGGGTGGAGGTCCATGTTGCGAAGGGCTCGATCGAGGAATAACCTCTATTTAGTTGAGGTTTTCAGGTATGCAACATTTTTTTTGATTCCTAAAAAAAATCTTTTAAAAAACTAGAATAAATTTCCTTCCAATTTGTCAAAATTCCAATCGAGTGCACGAGGTTTTTGCTCGAGTGCACGAATGTTGAAAGTCTGTTAGTGTGCAAACTACCAGACGGATTCCTTTGTTCAGATCCATAGGAGTATCGCGTAAACCATAAATTTTAACCATACGTTGTGACAGGCCAATTTAAAGTAAAAGGACAATTATTTATCGGACCTTTATAAGCCTACATTGTGAATTGCAGATCAAGCCAACAGCATGGATGAACACATTCAGTATCTCGAGACACTTTGTCGTCTTTGTGGCACAAATCTGCCACGGACCTGGGTCAGTGCTACAAACAAAGAATCTTTTAAATCGGAGCTCTGGATGAAATTTCGAATCAATGTCGATCTTGACATCAGAGAGATTCATTCAGCCAAGGCGAATGCACACTAAAAAATAATTTCAGGAAACCACGGATCTAACACATAAATGTGATTATTCAGCGAGTAAGTTCTCCTTCGGGCAAACATAAAACAAAGAGGTATTCGTTCACTGAGCTCTCACATCTTCAGGTATCGTATCCGGGAAATGTGCGATAAGAGCGGCATGAAGATGAAAATAAAGAAATCACATTGGTGGAAAGCCTTGGGTAAAATTTCCGCACAGCCCCATCCTACATTATGCATTCAGTTCTTGAACAGAGAAAACAATGACAAAAACAATACATTTCCGTTGGGAAAACAGATTTGTTTTACAATAGTATGGGGCTGTGCGGAAACTTTACCAAGCCTTGCCGAAGTGTCTCTATTACAGCATTCCGGAAACAAAGGTTGGAGTTTAGCTACACGAACTGATGAGAGTGAAATTTTCGTCTAAAACCACAAGGGACTTGTCTGTAATTGTGAAACTCGTTCTGAGACCTAAATTCTCCCGCGAATCGATCAATAGCGCGCAAAGTACCTTGTATGATTCTCTTGCATTGAATTCGATCATGTGTATTCGTCTTAATATAGATTATGACTTCTTGATTTTATTTTATCCCTCTCATGTATTTATTGGCGTTTATTTTCCAGGTATCATAATTTCAAGATCAAAGCTCCACGTGGAACACCGCTTGTTATTCAAAGTGAAGACGACAACACGTCTGACTCGCATGCACTGGCTTGTCTTCTTCCACGAGAAACGGAACGCATTCCAGAGGCTCTACGAGAAGTCCAGATTTTCAGCAAATCGCAGAGAAAGACATGCACTTTAGGAGATGTCAAAGGGCAGCAGATCGGCACGGTTCAGCACTTTCTAAACATACAGCTGCATGCTTTGCTTCGATGTGGCAAAATAACCAGGAATTAAAGTAAGTTACTGTTTTCTTGCTTTACTGTTACTTTTTCGTAAAGGCTTGATGGACTGAAATTGATAATGTCTATTTAAAAATCGGAGAGAAGCAAGATATTGTCTTTCCTCGACCTATACTGGAGAGAAATGAAATTGTCCCGATTCCGCGATCTCACACCTCTCTCGTCCCAATTGTTATCAGTGCGCGTTATTTGGTTCAACCTTATTTAATTGGTTTTCTTGTAACCCAAAATAGGGAAATCAACGGAGAACGGACAGTAACATCGAGGCCAAGCTCTACCCAGAAGTTCTCCAGATACAAACAGGCTGGCGGAAGAGCTTTTACTCCTGTGACGCTCTTGGTGTAAGGTAATTTAATTGTAATTTGTGCTAGAAATAATCCGCTTTACTCTTCCAGAATGCGAGAAGGTCGAGGACATGCATGTTGAATGTTTGAAATAAACGAATATTTTTAATGGTATCTTACGTCCAGTCCTTATTAGCGAATTTTGTTTCAGCTTACTACCGCATTACAACATGGCCGCCACAAAAAAAAAAAAAAAATCAGCTTCTTCTTGTTTCCAGCACCTCTCGGCCAAATTTGCTTTGTTTTGGTTTTGATCTCACCCAATCACAAAGCTCGAAACCGATATCCAGAAATGGTTATGGCCCGAACTGTTAATTACCCTTTATAACCCATCATTTCATCTCTGAAAATCATCGAAAAAATCTTTGGTCACTACCGTATTGTCTTGGATATCTTTTAAAATCTGCGACTGTGACAAGTTTCTCTCAACTACACCTATCACGCAATTCTTGCTCTGGGCGGTCACTTGACAAAATAAACCTACATTTTTTAGCTCTTTATACAAGATGATTGATCAAGAAAGGTAAAAAATGGGAAAACTTTCGGGATTTTTAGTAGGAATGGAAAATTTCACGTTTAAAGAGATGCATGTAGACGAAAAATCAATGGGAAAATCGTAACGTTTCTTTCTTCAGTCGTTTATTACTTTGAAGATTTGCTAAAATCAGGATATAGGGCTCTTGTACAGAACAAAACATTCATTAGCCTATACTTTGATCGTCTATTATTATCATCACACAGTTTACAATAAGGAAACTGTAACAGGAGAGGAGATTTTAAAGTCACATGTCGCCTGCTTGTTGACGTACAAGTTCCCGAGTGTAACAACTTCGGCTTT